ACTAAAAGTTTGTATCGAGAAAGAATAAACTGGTTTAATCAAGAAAGGATTTGTATCACTGAAGTTCCTCGGGAAGAATTTCTACCGGAAATTAACAAACAAGCAGATACATAACAATATATATAAAATTTATAAAAATTAACAGAAGCCTCAATGACCAATTAAGGTCATTTCTGATCAATAAACACTAAATGTAGATTTTGCTCACTAAAAGTTGCTGGAAAGAATGGGAATGTAGCTTCTATTATCGAGTACAAACATATATATAAAATTTATAAAAGTCACTGAGGAGTTTGGCTATAAAACCTTGAATCAAACTTTTCAAGACCTGCATAAGGTTTATAAACTTTTTTGTACCTACCCTAATAATGAACTTGTGCACATACTTAAGGAAAACAAAAGGGTCAGAGAAGAATGTGAATGAATAACTTAATAAGGTTATATTTATAGTTATAAGTAATTCCTTGACAAGGCATGTGAATGGGATAGTCTGTGGAGTAAATAGGGAGAAAAGAATTAGATTATGCTATCCAGGGGTACAGGTGGATGATATAACTGACAAATCCAGGACAACTACATCCCAGACAATTAGACACCTAAACACATGATGAAGTAGGACATTTAGCCACCACTTGTTTATTATAAAATAAAAAAATAATTACAATAATTTTCTCGATTATATGACCTGTATATATCCAGGCCTACTACATTACAAGTTTATTTAACTCCATTATATGAACTGTATAGAGTCTAGGCCTATTTTACCAAAATTTTAAATGTACTCCATTATTTGACTTATGTAAATCTAGGTTTATTATATTACCAGTTAAATTTACTCCATTATATGACCTGCATGGTAACTAGACAATTATTAGGTGTCTAAATGTCCTACTTTCTCATTTTTTTAGGTGTCTAATTGTCTGGTTACCATAAATGACAGAGCAAGAGATATAATAAAGGGGCTAGCAATGATGCAGTTCTTGTTGTGCATATATAGGCTTGTGATGTAGGAAAAGATAGGTCAGAGTAGATAATTAATAAGTACAAGGAGTTGATAAAGGCATTTAAAGAAAAGGACCATCAGTTAATTGTGTCAGGAATAGTGCTGTGAATTAATTGTGGGGATCAAGTTATGAGTAGGTCACTAGAGCTAAACGCTAGGCTTAGATTAATATGTAAGAATGAGCAGATAGCCTGTTTGGAAGAAGAGAGCTTTATAGAATGGATGGTTTACATTTAAATAGGGTAGGGGATATCTTGTTTGGAAGAGATATTAACTCAGCTGTAAGGGAAGATTTAAACTAGGACCACACAGTGGCGAGGGCCAGGATAAACTAAATGCAACAAATAAGGTGTAGAGAAATGTTTAGCATAGGAAATAAGCATAGAAGTAGTTCAAAGTATAGGCTTAATTTTTACTATTGTAATGCTAGAAGTATAAGAAATAAAATAGATGACTTTAGAGCATTGGTAGGACTGGAGGATTTTGATATGATAAGAATAACTGAAACATGGTTAAACATAGATGATTTTGATGACATAAATTTCTTTGAAATACAGGGTTACAGGCTATTTAATATGGATAGAGTATTAAAGAGGGGGGAAGAGTGGCTTTATATGTAAAATGTGAGTTATATCCTGTTGAAGTTGAGGATATTGAAGATAATAAGAGACTGAATCCATTTGGGTTTCTATTAGTGGATATAAAGGGAAAAGGCTTTTAGTTGAAATTTGTTACAGACCACCAAATGATATTGAGAAACTATACAATGAGATTAAGATTTCAGCTGTTAATGAAGTCATAATTAGGGTGATTTTAATTTCAGGCATATAGATTGGGAAATGTTTGAGTCAAACCATGAGGTAGAAAGGTTATTGGAAATGGTTCAAGATGGTTTTTTTCATCATTCTTCGTCAACTGGTCAAGGAACCTACTAGAAAAAAGGCTATTTTACATTTATTGTTAACTTCTAATATATGAATTGTTGAGATCCTAAAAATTGGGGAACATCTGGGTGCAAGTGATCATTTCTCTATTAGGTTTGATGTTTTACTGCATATAGAGATCAGGAATAATGATATTTTGGTTACAAATTTCAAAAAGCATACTTTGAAGGGATGAGACAAGAATTATATATTGTGAATTTGGCATCTCAGTTATTGGGAGACTCTGATCAAATGTTTAAGGTTAAATTTTTAAATATTCAAAATAAACATATTCCTTATAGAAAGAAAAGGGTGGCTGCAAGTAAAAAACCAGGTTGGCTCACAAAGAATATAAGAGATAACATTAAAGAAAAGCATTATAAATATTTTAGAAATGTCAATTGACTGGTATGACAGGAGATTTAAAGGATTATAAAAGAGCAAGAAAGTTGGTCAAACACGAAAGTAGGACATCAAAAAAGGATGTATGAAAAAAGGTTGGCTGAAAACAGTAAGGATTTCTTTAAGTACATTAAGGGTATAAACAAAATGTTATAATGGGAGTAGGACCTTCGAGGGATAAAGAAAAGGTTGTATCTGAGGATACAAGATGGCTAGATTATTAAATTTTGCTTTTTCTTCAGTTTTTACTAATGAAGATTTATGCAGTATTCCTCATATTGAACAGTTGTTAGATGTAAACAAGGTAGAACAAGATAACTGCATTAATTCTGTGCTGGTTAAGAAAAAATTGGGAAGTTTAAAAAATATAAGGCTCTTGGACCAGATAATATTTCCCCAAAGGTTTTGAAGGAGGTTAAGGATTGGATATGCGAGCCACTTGCTACTATTTTTTGTAAGTCCTTGAATAATGGGCAGGTGCCAAAGGATTGGAAGTTAGCTAATGTCACTTCTCTTTTTAAGGGAGGTAATAAAAATTGTCTTGGTAATTATAGGCCTATTAATCCTACATTATGTGGGAAAAGTTTGTAGAATTTGATGAAAGATGCTTTGCAAAGTCATTTAACAAAGTTTAGAAATTTATTGGATAGTCAACATGGTTTCACTAAGGGAAAATCTTGCCTTACAAATTTTTTGACATTCTTTGAAAAGGTTACAGCTTATGTAGATGAAAGTAGTGTATTTGGGGTATCTGAATTTTCAAAAAGCATTTGACGAGGTTCCACATAAAAGGCTCGTAAAAAATATTATTTCTAGGTGTGGGGGATAAGTTAGCTAATTAGATAGAAAAATGGCTGGATGGAAGAAAACAGAGGGTTTTTATAAATGGAGTTCAGTCAAATTGGATTAATGTCAAAAGTGGAGTCCATCAGGGCTTGGTTCTTAGGACTTTTGCTTTTTCATTTATTTACATCAATGACACAGATGAAGGGATGGTCAATAAATTACTTAAATTTGCTGATGGTATTAAGGTCTTGGGTGTTTCTGGCTGTGAAGAGGAGGCTGCTGATTTAGAAAAGGATTTAGATCATTTATTGAGTTGGGCAAATAAATGGCAGTTGGATTTTAATTATAATAAATGCAAGACAATGCATGTGGGTTATCATAATTTGAATTATAAGTATAATTTGGATGGGAATAACCTTAACAGTGTCATAAAAGAAATGGATCTTGGTGTAATGGTTGATCAGTCTCTTAAACCATCCAAGCAGTGTGCTGTTGCTAGTAGTAAGTCAAATAGGATTTTAAGTTGTATCTACAGAAACAGTGAATACAAGTCTAAAGAGATGATAATTTTACTGCATAGTTCACATCACTAGTTAGGCTACATTTGGAGTATTGTGTTCAGTCTTGGGCTCCTTAATTTAGGAAGGACATTTAACTGTTGGAAAGTGTTCAGAGTAGGGTTACAAGAATGGTGCCTGGGATAGAGGGTTTGTCATACGAGTAGAAATTAAGATCTTGAAAAAAGAAGTTATAGGAGATCTGATTGAGGTGTTTAAGATTGTAAAGGGAACCGAGAGTATTGATGCATCATTTCTTTTCATATTTAACAGCGATAATAGTAGGACTAGGTGACAAATAAATTTTGGCATGGAAGGAATCATCTTCAGCTAAGGCAGTTGTATTTTTCTAACAGGATGGTTGGCCTCTGGAATGGGTTGCTTTCAGATGCTGTGGAGTCAGTAAATTTAAGTGAGTTTAATAAGAATAGGAATGATAAGGGCTGGCTTTAAGTTTTGTTTTTCAATTTATTATAGTTTAAATTAGGGGATGGGACAGACAAAATGGACCAACAGATTCCCTGTTATCCATAAACATTATGTTATTTTATATATGTATTACAAACCAATGGTTAAAACTTTAAATACTCATCATTGTATCAGTAGATATTTATTTCACTTCTGAATTTGTTTACTGATTTGGCATTTGATATGTGATAAGTAAAAAAGTTCTATTTATTTATAACTATCTGTGAAAATATACAGAGGGTTTTATATAGGGATTTTGACCAGCATTCAGCACTACAAAATATTTGATGTGTTTCAGTATAGGTGACTAACAAGAGTTCAGCAAACCTTCCTTCACACTTGAATAATAATATCTATACCATCAAAATGTAACATAAGACAAGAGTCCATATGCAAATCCAACACCCACCATTGGGCAAAAGTAAATACTTAAATTTATCCTTCATTCTTCAGAAAATTATTGATCCGCCTTTTACTAGTTTAGGGTTATACTTATAGTTATACTAAGAAAGCCAAAACTTACACTACTGTACGTTAGCAGTATTACTATTAGTATTAGGGAAACGGGATGATGAAGTCAGATATTAGTGTAATATCATGCGATGATATTACTTAATACAAATTACGTTATTAATATTAAACAACTGTTTCGGCACACCTATAACGTTAGCATTTTTTTAAATCGAACAACTTAGTTTACGATATTTTATATTTAAGTTGCCTGCAAATAAAATACATAATATGGTGCATAGTTTAGCTGCATTTGTTCAACTGTAAATATTAATACGATATTTAGTTTCAATCAATTTTTTACCACGTTCTTGGAAATGCTGGTGATATATAATATTAATAAAATGCTACCTTTAATCAGTGTAGGCTTCATCACGTTCAACTTCATGCCAAGTTTCATACCAAAACTTGATTCAAGCAGAATAAAGCTAAATAAAGCAACCATGACAATACTGGTATATGACATTTTACAATTCATTCGTAATATATTCCTAATTATTACCATGAATATTTTCGAATGCATGCATTTTACAAACGTACAATCAAACGGCGTTCCTGCTTCTGTAAACTATATTTAACATCTTCGGTTTTAAACAAACAAAAAAATCCCCCTTTTTCAATTATGTCTTGCATGATGAAGGCATAAAAAAGCTGTAACAATGGGTAAATAAAACAATTTGTACGATTCTCTAAGGTTCAAGGTAATTTTATTTATTTGTAATTATGTGTAATATTCTTTAGTCAGCATTATGCAAGTTTTAAAAAATGGTTTAAGTATTGTTCGTTTTCATATGAACTATCAAATAATGAAATAGATGAGCACGTATTCACACACACACACACACACAAATCTACAATTTCAATAGTTTTGTGTAGATATTGTTTCATGGGGAATAATTTCTTATTTAATTTCTTTTTATAGTGATAAGAGAATTTTCAGGGATATTTTATAATTCGGCTTATCGAGCATTTTCTTAATAAATGTCCCCTGTAGGTCAGTGTTAAGTTTCAGGACTTATCATGCTTTTATTTGGGTCTAGTTAACTGCGGTGCTCCCAGTGGCACAGCGGTATGCCTATAGAGTTATAACGCGAGAAACCGGGTTTCGATACTCGTGGTAGGAAGAGCACAGAAAGCACTGTTGTGTCTCCAGTCGTTAGTTGATTTTCCGTAACTTCGTTCCCACGAAACTTTAGCGACACAAGTCC